GAATTTCTTTGTATTTTGTAGTGCTTCGATTTCTTTGTATTCTTTTCTGACTTGCTTGTTTTGATTTCTTTGTATGTTGTAGTGCTTTGATCTGCCCAATATTGCAGCTGCAACCAAAGATCCGCCTCTGTTTATCTGCTTCCACTCCTCCTATTGAGCAGTACTGCATTCAGAGGTATCTCTCTATCTGGATTCATTTTTTTTCAGTGTTCAAGTTTCAATTTTTATGTGCTGAAATCTACAAATCTAATGTCTTGGGATTCTGTTGGATTGGATTATGTTTTGAATTTTCCTCTGTTGGATTGGGTTCTGTTCGATTTTTTTTCAGTGTTCAAGTTTCTATTTTTATGTGCTGAAATCTACAAATCTGGTGTCCTTGGGTTCTGTTGGATTGGATTCTATTAGATCGATCATGAGTAGCTGAATAAGTGTGTATGGATATAAATGCTTAAGGAGGAAATAGAAGGAAAAATAAAAATTTAGGTTTGTGAAATTGTTAAGTTAGGGTTGGTTGTTGTAGATTTTGTTGGGTGACAATCAGCAACCTACTTTGGAAAACTGTCCTGCATAATTTTAAGAAGGTTTGGGATGCTTTCGCGTGGTACGAGGGGCCATTGGATCGTTAGGCATAATGCTTTACAAAATTGGTGTTGATTGGTTTTGTTTTTCCTCTCTACTTACATGGGAATTTAAACTTTAGTTGTTGCTGAGGCAATGATGGTAATTATAGTTGCCGCAAGTTTGAAATAAATGGATTTTCCCCTACTGTAATTCCTTGATATCTCCATGTGCAAGTTGGTCAATATCCTTTACCACAAGTTATTAGGGTTTTTATGTTACTGTTACAGAAGATGGGATTACTAGGTGAATCAGAAGGTAATGATGAGATTTCCATTTTTAAGGAGGTTCAATATGTGGTTAGGTTGGGATTAAGGGCTTATAAGTTTTCACTATGTACTAACTAATGAGGACCACTGTAGTAACTGGTGTAGTACAGATCACTCTTGAACATATTTTTTAAAGATATAGTATCCACTGACCCTATGTTGACTTTGTTTTTTATTTGCAATTTACTCTTTGTGGTTCACAATATGTCATCCCAGGTTTTAGTTTGGACACTTTTATCATTATCAATTCCTATTAGGGTTCTTTCGATGTTTTTGAAAATATAGTATCATATTTTGATTCATTCAATAATTGAATCCTGCGTATGTGTTTTTTTCATGTGAAGGTATGAATGAATATGAGACTCGATTCTTTGTTCTTTTGAACGTTTGGATTATAATGGCACAAGTCTTTAGTATGAATTGTCAATTGCTGAGGTATAAACAACAACAAAGGAGACAACGGGAAAGAGCTAGTTTAAAGCAAAGGACAATTGTTAGACTTCATGTTAGGAGAGAGGAAATAAATCGTATCACGCAATTTAGTGATACTAATTGTTTGTGGGAGCTACGAATGGATAGGAATGCATTTGCAGTTTTATGTGATTTACTACAAACTCGTGGTGGGTTGGTAGATGATGGTCATGTTACAATAGAGGAACAAGTTGCTACTTTTGTTAACATATTAGCCCACCACAATAAAAACATGTCAATGCAAGTTAGATTCATCAGGTCTGGTGAAACTATTAGTCGGTATATTCATAGAGTATTGCGTGCGTTGCTCAATTTGCAAGAGGTGTTGTTTGCAAAACCAACCCCTATCCCAGAGGATTGCACAGAATCAAGATGGAAATGCTTTAAGGTAAGCATCATAGTAAAATTATTAATAACATAATTATTTGTAGTTGGTAAGTAATATAGTTTTTCTTTTGTCTAGGGTTGCTTAGGAGCGCTAGATGGAATATACATAGGGGTCACTGTGCCTGAGGTCGATAGACCAAGATATAGAACAAGGAAATGTCATATAGCAACTAATGTGTTAGGCGTATGCACACATGACCTTAAATTCGTATATGTGTTATCCGGTTGGGAGGGATCAGCTATTGATTCGAGAGTTCTTGGTGACGCTATTACTAGAGCTAATGGCCTCAAGGTCCCAACCGGTAAGATAGACAATACCTAGTATTCTTCCTTACCTTTGTTGGCCAACAACTAAAATTTATTATCAACTAATGTAGGTACATACTATTTGGTTGATTCCGGATATACGAATGGTGAGGGTTTTCTGGCACCGTATAGAGGCACTAGATACCATTTGCAAGACTGGGAAGACAATTCACGTGCACCTACGAATCATGAAAAATATTTTAATATGAAACACTCACGTGCTAGGAATGTCATTGCGAGATGTTTTGGCCTTCTCAAAAGATGTTGGGCTATCTTGCGAAGTCCTTCCTACTATCCAATCAAGATTCAGGGACGAATGATCACTGCATGTAGTTTACTTCATAATTTTATTAGAATGTATATGGCGGTTGATCTTGAGGAAAATGCAAGGCTTGCATTTGATGAATTGCATATAGGGGAAGATTTACCAGAAGTATTAGCCTACTTTGAAACTATTGAGTCAAGCCAAACATGGACTCAATGGAGGGATGATCTCGCAAGAGAAATATATGATGAGTGGAGAGGAATGAGGGCTTGAAAATGGGTTGACATGGTAGTTGTTGTAATTGTCTTTTATTGTTTGATGACATTTTACTGAGATGATTGCTGTAATTGTTTTTCATTGTTTGAAGACTATTGAGATGTTTATTAAGTGGATTTGTAATGTGGTAATTGGGAGTTATCTGGATGTTATGGTTGATAAAGCCCAGTGTTGTTATATGTAGGAATTAGAAACACTGTTTAAAATTTTAAATTTGCTTAACTGCTTAAAAGTTAATCTGACCTTAGTACCTTATCTTTCTACAGCCAGGTTGGAAACAAACCACAAGAAAGGATAATTTAGAATATAGTTCTGCTTACTAAATATATTGTTGCTAACCAAAAACCTCACCTGGATAACATTGTTTTATTTCAGTCCTCATGATATGTGTTTATCACCAGTTTACTGTATAATGTGCATTTTCTATGATCTTTAAAGTTTTTGTTTGTAAGTGTTATCCCTTGGTGTTGCCATGTAGCCTTGAGTACATGGATAATAAATTGATAATTGATTACCTTTTCCACTAGGAAGTAATTTAGCTTTGTAAAAAGTTGTAGGCAGATATTAACGTAATTGCATCATGTTTGCTCCACTAACAATATGTTTCTTTGTTTTTCATATGTAATATTATGGCTTCTTTGATATATTATATGGCCACCTCACATAATTGGAATGATAATGAGGAGGATGTGCTGCTTACCATCCTCGAGGAGATGGTAGTTGATGGTGTTAGGTGTGAGACCGGCAGTTTTAAGGCTGGTACATTTGTAATGGTTGCCATCAAGATGAGGGAGATGATTCCGGGCATTAATATAGAGCCAAAGCATATACAAAATAAGCTGAAGCGTCTGAAAGAAAAGTATTCCTCTGCATATGACATGATGAATACCTCTGGATTTGGTTGGAATGACGAAAAAAAATGTGTTGCTATGGATAGTGACGATGTACTACAGCTGTGGGTGAAGGTACATTTTGTTTCTTATTATTTTTCAATTAGTTGCGTTAATAAGATTTTTCTTCATTTGTAGTTAAATACCAAATTATTATTAACTCATAGGCCCCTTCCCAATATATATAGCTATCTCACCCTTCCCAATATATATAGTTGTCTCAAAAACACAATCTTGCACAGTTGCACATGCACAATCTTGCACAGGTTCTACTAAGTTCAATTTTATTTTAAAATATTCAATTTCAATATTTGATTTCTTCGAAGTCATAACTTTGATGTCTTTGGGTTCTTATTGTAGAAACATCCTAATGCATCTTACAAACCAAATAAGCTATTTCCGTTGTATCTACGCTTGTGTACGGTGTTTGGGAGAGACCGAGCCACGGGTAGTATGGCTGAATCAGCAGCAGATGCAATGGAAAACATGGAATTGGAAAATGAGGATTGCGATGAGACCTTCGAGATGCCTCTGACTTCACCTACCCCATCTCTTTCTGTTGGTACATCCAGTGCATCTCAACCTATTAAGAAGATGAATAGGAATAAGAATGATGCTGATGCAAATATTGTAGCTGTTATTTGTGAAGGTTCGGATAAAGCAGTTACTGAAATGAAGAATTTAGGGGAAAGTTTTACTTTAAGAGAAGCTAAAGCCAAGTTACATTCTCAGCTTAAGGCCATGGGTATCCCATATGATCAGGTGCTGAAATTTTCAATGAAGTTAGTGAAAGATATTGATATGTTGAGTTTTGGTGTACCCTGGATGACTCTGACAAGCCAGATTTCATTAAAATGTTTATGGATGGCAGCTGAGCATTAGGGGGTTTAGTATGATATGAACTATATCAACTTCTGGGGCTTAGTAAGACCTTTTCTTTCTTTCTTTTTTCTTAAGTCAGGACAAATGTTTAATTTGGGATTTCATGTTTAAGTTCAGGATATTTCATGTTTATTGCTTTAGCAAGATAATATGATTAAACTTATATATTTTTCATCCTTGCATGACAACCATTACATGGTTAAGATAATATCATTAAACTTAGCCACAGTGCGGGCTTATATATAGAAGAAATCTGAGGACTTGGTTCTCAATTACAGGGTGATTCAGGGCAGGTGATTCCGTGCTAGATTCCGGAGGTGAGGTGCCTCGCTAATATGCAATTTTTGGACTGTAAATTTGTAGTGAAAAACAGCTTTTTCATTTACAATAACTGTTATTACTGAGACAGAGCTGTAGCTCAAAGGTTTGTCATTAATACTTGCAGCTGATATTGTGTTTAAGATAATGAGAAACATTGATTCTTCTGGACCCCCACATAATGTATCCGGAGGGAATTCATGTTCTCCATAGACACCCCTTAGCATTTCTCTCACGTAAAAGAAAAAAGTCGTTGAGGGTTGCCAGCTTCATTGGTTCCAAGATAATATATATGAATACAACTAGTGAATACAAAACTGAAGGAAGGAATGACCGATGCTCAATTCAATTTATCAAATACCCGACCTTAAAAATAACCGGAGAAGAAGTTCTTCTAAAGAACAACTAGGTAAATTAATTTCATTGATTCAAGCTGTCCTATCTATCGCTAGAAAGTAAAGAATCATCAAGAGAATAGAAAACGAAAAGACTATTCTTGGCACGAATAATGCTTGTTTACCAAGGTAAGCTCTCATGCCGCCTTCTCTAGACTGAATAACGCTTGTTTACCAAGGTAAGCTTTCAACCGGACATGACCACTTTGTCCTCTTGGTTGGCTTCAGAGGATTCTTGTTATCTTCTGCTCCTTTTGGTGAGAAATTTAGAGATCACGTTTGTTTAACATCATACATGCTATCAGAAATCAGAAAGGGGTCTTTCTCAAATCCTTGATGGGAGCAGAGATGCCTTCCGCTTTACATACTCACGTGCAATGCTAATTGAACTCTTGCTATGCCGCAGAGAAAATTCAGTGAGTAGAATTTGGCTCTTTTCAAATGTCAGATCCCCATGGCTACCCTGTATATTTGCTGGCAACAGTTATTAACATCTAATGCTTGAAATTTAAGTAAGCATGCAACTGCTTTGTACAATTACTATTCCTTTTGCGAAAAACAGAACGTCACAAAATACAGTGAAATTGAGTTGCAAATTGTCTAGTGCCTGATACAAACTTTGACATGAATGTTGTTGTAGTCTTGACCCATAGTAGAAAGAATCCGGCAACTTCAGGACCAACACAGGATTGTAGAAAACAAGGCAAGAAAAGAGAGTTGAGAACTGATTCAGGCTTCACATTATGCAATGCAAAATGGAAGTTCAATTGCACACCAAAACAATATCAATTGCCGGCAATAAATGTAGGGTTTATGATTGTCCTGTAATTTATTGTCAATGCCTTTTCCACTATAAAAATCCAATCAATGAAGATGATTAAACATCGTGAATGTAAATTTCTAAATAAAAAAGAAAACGATAAAAAGAGTGGATGCATTATTCAGTACAGAAAGAATAGTAGTATAGTTGTTACCCGTCGATATGTTCTATCACAAACTGCATGGTGCATGAGAAGGCCTGCAGCAACTGAAACATTGAGAAAAAGCCAACCATGCCTTTCATTATGCAAATCTAACAAAGCCAGGGCCTCATCACTTATTCCCATAAATTAGACATTGCATTCAAATTAATATCGAAGAAGAACATATCTAAGATGTAATTTTCTTCATGTTACTAACTTTTTCTCAGTTGAATTTCTAAATTCTTCATCAAGTGCAAGTATATCAGAAAATTTGATATTAGTCACAGAGACACACAAGTGTATCAGTTTAAAATTGAACAAAGAACCAGCTTGGATGATATCGAAAAATGTAATGATCACTAAATAGGGAAAACGTATAATACCTATTTTCATTTCCAACTACAATCGCAGTTGGGCAAGACCAATCCATGTCGTATATAGAAACCTTAAAATATAAAATGGAAGAATAACTCAGATACATGCTTGAGATTAAAACTGTTGAACATCTTTTCAAAACAAACAAAATACACAACAGAAGAAAATGGATAATTACCGCGTCCGATATGGGTTATGGCAATTCGATAACCTCGTGATTTTAGAACTTCAAAACACTCAGCAGTAGAGTTCCAAATTTCAATGTCCAACCATTTCTCCTCTCCCATACTGACATGGCGATTGTCTCTATATTTGAACCAAGATCAAGTTGAGGTTAACAAAGTTAATTTGACAACTAAGAACCGGACAACTTCAATTAAACTTACTAATACAAATTAAACAAAGCCAACCCTGATTACCAATTCACTAAACAACCACGTACCAACAAAAAATTTAGAAAAAAAAAATCTTCTTTCTGGTTTTTTTTTCAAAAGTTTAACCCAAAACTAGACCCCTTTCACCTCAAATGCCGTTGCACCTTTTAGAGTCGCATGATACCACATGAACCACCTGAAACCCAAGCGCATCTGCAGACCTAAACGCCGCTGATACATTGCCGAAATATCCCAATCCTTCAACCACCAGACACACCTCGTAGCTCCGATTCTTCACCACTTTCCTAAACTTATCCTTCCTCACATCCATTATGTATGGATCCACCGCTTCAAGCACCTCACCGTTGTTGAGAAAAGCACCTTTACTGTAGCTGAACTTGTCCAGATACAAGAACCACCGACTGCCGATTTGGTGCGCAGACTCATGGCGACGTTCTATTTTCATCAGGCATGCAACCTTTTTTTTCTTCCTCAGAAGCTCCCCCACGGTTTCCTGAGTCATGTTCTCCAGCGGTTCTAGGGTTAAGTCTGCAGAGTGAGCTTCATCTGTTAAATTTGCAGCAACTGCTTCAGATGAAATTGAAGCGTACGGCCGCGAAGGAACATTGTACGGAGCAAGCCTGAGCGCTAATTTCAAATTCAAATCAGAAAATTGAGTTATAAATGTGTGTATGAGTGTCGAGAGAGAGAGAGTACCTTGGTTGGAAGGAAGCGGAGAGAAAATGAGGGAGATGGAGTGGAGGAGAGAGACGGCGGGTCGATTGGTTCGGAGGGTGGAGGTGATTGAGGAGAAAGATGTACGGACTAGGGTTTTGCAGGCACTCATAGTTCCGTTTCGTCCCAAGCCTAACATTATATCAAACAACAGACGGAACAGAGGTGAGTTAGTCATTTTAATTTTTTGGTTTCGTTCCGTCCTGCTTACCAAACGCAGAACGAAACAACTCTCCCGTTCTGTCCTACGCATACCAAACATAACATGGAACCACTATTCCGTCCCGTCCTGTTCCGTCTCATTCGTGTACCAAACGATACATGTAGTATAGATGATAGATGACTTTATACTGCTTATGAACATGCTTTTGCACACTTCTTTATAGTATAAATGATGATTGACTTTATACTATGAAGATGTTTTTGAAATATAAATACCTATGTTTGAAAAGTCTATGTTCATTCAATGGTTTTGTGCTTATCTAGGGGTCACTATACTCCCACGGGTAAGGATTATGGTTGTTGGCTGTGGGCCGGGAGAAATAATCTCTGGCTTTGGGTCGAAAGACATGGAGCTGACATTGGGCTGGAAGAAATAATCTCTGGCTACGGGCGTAGAGACATAGAAGCTGGCATTAGGCCAGGAGATATTATTATTGGATACCACTATTTATCACACTACATACGAGATGTGTTTATGAAAGGTTTTATGGCATGCTAGGGTTTCGAAAACCTATTACATATTATGCTATTAATGTTTTCATAAAACTTTGGGATTTAGTATGTTGATAACTGTTTAAGTATTATATATTTATCAACTTGGTCCACTCATATTTGTTTTGCGCCCCTTCAAGACTTAGAATTGAGGTGTACAATCTTGGCGTCAAGGCACTTCCGCATCAGCATATTCGAGTCCTCTTGGTGTAAGCCATCTCTTGGTTCATTCAATTTATATTTTTTTTAATGCTCTAGATTAGTGTATGATCTGAATACGTTCCTTAAATGCATATTTATTATATTTAAATTTCTATTATTTTATTTATATTTCTTATTCTCATGCATTCTAATATAGCTTCGTCACTTTCGGGTGTCGGTTAGCATGTGCCTACCTTTGTGTTTGGGAGAATATCAGGGTCGGGCGTGTCAAATATGGTCCCCGAAATTGAAAATCAATCAATGTAATCCTTGAAAATAGGTGTTGCAAATCAATATGATTTTCCATCACAATTCTGTAAACAAATTTGTTATATGCTGATGTGGGTTTAATAATTAATTAAAAAAGTTGTCTAAATACCTTTTTGCACAATGGATTTATTTTTATTTTTATAGTAGGGCCTACTTTGAAGAAAGATTCTTTCCATAAATTCTCAAAGACACAAGACTTAACCAAGGCCTAAGAGGGGGTGTGGATATAGTTTTCAACCAACAATGGACGCACTTCGGTTATAAACTCAATATCTCAAGGTAGACCTCGTCGTTCTTTGCAACACCGGGCCACCCGGGAAGCGCAAACAAGTTCTCCAAGATTAAGGTTGTAAGGATGTTGATCGCCTAAATGTTAACCATGATGTCCCAATAGTTGTTGCTAATGGGCCAAGCCGTCACTAAAGGTGATCTCGATCCAGGTTCAATTCAATGAAGGGTGTCGAAGTGTGTTTTGAGATTTTTTTTCAGAGAACAGAGAGCGAATGAGGTAGAGAAATGTGGACTGAGATCGAAGATGATTGCAGGATTGGGTTTTTGAGTTGACAAATTTTTATTAACTATTAAGCCTATTTGTAATTTTTTTTTTAAATTTAATTAGACTTGTGTGACCTATTTATATGTCACATCAGCACATAACAAAAATGTTTTACAGACTTATGACACAATAACTACATTGATTTGAGACACTTACTTGCGGGACTCCATTGATCAATTTTCAATTTGAGGGACCATTTTGAAGTATCGGGTCAATTTCAGCAACCATTTTGATGTGTAGGTCAATTTCAAGGACCATTTATGATTAAAAAAAAAAAGACTTATGGGCTCATTTATATGCCACATCAACACTTAACAGAATTTTTAACAGAATTATGACGGAAGGACCATATTAATTTGTGACATCTATTTTCAAGAACGGTATTATTGATTTTCAATTTCAGAAACCATATTGATGGTGAGGGTCAATTTCAAGGTTTATTTGTGATAAAAATCATAACCGAAAAATCACCACGTAGCAAAATGAAAGCAACGCAGCTATCTTCGAACACGTGTTCCAAATTTATTGGCCCTTCACAATCCATCTGCGACGGGATTAACTCCGCCGTTAACTCCAATAAACTCACAGAAGGCTGAGCTGACCAATCACTTGAAAAGTGTGAAAACAAAGGAATAGGGACAATAAAGCAAAATTGTTGGGCTCCTGCGTTCAATTTTAATTTTAATTCTAATTTTTCTAGATCTCCCAAAAGGACACTTCCCTTGTACCCAAAAACGCAAAACTCACAAACTCTCTCTCTCTCTCCCCTAAACCCCCAAACCTCGAGGGCTTTAATCTTGTTCAGAAGATCTGGAGGTAAACACACACAATCACAATCCTTGAAGCTTTAAAACTTTCAAGTTTTGTTAATTTTGTATATTTTGTGCTTTAATTTTCTCGATATTGCTTTAGATTTGCTCGGTTTTGTGATTAGGGTTTATCATATTTTCGTATTTTTTGGAAGTGTAAAATGAAAAGAAGTTAAATTTGATGGTTTTGGAAAATACCCAGATAAAATATCTCTATGGATGAGCTAAAGGATAAGGATGTTGATGTGGGTAGTGGGTCAGAGTCCACTGTGAGTGCTAGTGGGCATGTAGCTGGTGAAACCCTAGCTGGGTCCGAGGCTTGTGTAATTGAGGGTCAGGTTGAGGGGTCTTTTGGGGAGGATCTTGGTGACGATGAAGGCGGTGATTGTGATGGGGGTGATATAATGGTGGAGGTTCTGGGTTCTAATGTCTATGTTGGTGGAGTTTGCACTAGTGGGGATGGGGACAATGAAGGGGTGGGTCATGATGATTCGGTTGAGGTTGATATGGGGTTGGAGGGCAATGTGAGATCTCCTGGAGGAGATGGTGGTGAAATGGGTGAGCTGGATTCGGTGGCTGCAGTTGTTAGTTCAACGAGCATAGAAACCCAGGTTTTTCATTTTGAGGAAGCTGAGATGGTTGTGAGGCAGGATGTGAATTCAGAGGAAGTTAGTGTTTCGGATGAAAAATCACAGGATGCCACAGTAGAAAATGGAATTGAGGGTTCCTTGATTGGATCTGTAGGTAGTGAAACACAAGTTGTCGTCAGTGAAGTAGTTGTGAAGGAAAGTGTAGAAGTTTCCGTGGGAGGATTGGTGGAGGTTGTGGAACAAGAAAGGAAGTCGGTTGTTGGTGATGTTGATGCACTCAATGATTTGAAGGCACAAATAGCTGGTGTTTCAGATGATGTAGTATTGAATCCTGGAATTGAAATGGCTGCAGTGGCTGTTAGTGAAGAAGGTTTGAATCCCGAACCCTCGAGTGAACAAACCCAAGTTTCTGCTGCTAGTGGTGATGTTGCTGGGTTGGACAATGTAGATATTTTGACTTCCAAAGTTGCAGGTAAGGAAACTGATAAAACTAATGAAAATTCAAGTCATCCAGTAGAAGAACGGCTGGTTAAGATTGAGCCAGTGGGTAGTTGCACCCGTAGTGGCAGCAATGAACCTGAATATTCAGTGTCTTCTCCTATGCCGCCTCAAGTAGTTCATGGAAGTGACATGGGAGCAACAGGTGCACAAGATTCTGAAAATTATCAGTTCTTGAAACCTGAAGAAAGCGTAGAGGACATGGTTCATGATATTGCATTGGTTTCAACTACCTTATCTCCGCCAGCTCAAGTAATTCCTGGAGGTGTAGTTTCAGTAACAGAAAGAGGGGGCCTTTTGAATTCCAAAAAGGACCTGCACTTGAAACCTGAAGAGAGTATAGGCAAGAACACGGTCCTTGATACTGCACTGGTTGAATCAAATACAGGGCAAGAGATGGAAGTGGACACACACGTTAATGGTGCTGAACAGGATAGCGTAGATGGAACAGATCAATCCCTGGAGTCTGGAAAGTGTTTAGAAAAGACTGCGACAGCTTATGTTGATCGAGTTCATCCTGATATCGAAGCGGAGGAAGTCAATGAACAAGTGACTGATGCTGAGGGTGTATTAAATGGAGGGGAACAGATAGAAGATGAAGGCCAAGACATAATGGGTGGATCCACTGAGATTGCAGCAGCAGATGATAATATTCGTCTGAATCCATGCATTGAAGTAAATAACTCTATTGATCCGAACTTGAAAAGTGAGACTGTTCAGAGGAGATCACAAGCTGATATGCAAGTCACTGATAGTGGAGATGTTACTCCCATGGACACTGAGGAGGTAGGAGTTAAAGAACAATTTAATGATGCTGTGCTAGATGGTTTACACGGAGGGCAATACATGGAAGGCGAAAAAGAAGCTACTGATGCTGAACAACCAAAAGCAGGTGAAGAGGAAATTCTTAAACAAGAAGCTATCCAGGGAAGCTCAGAAATTGTGCCTCAACCGAGATATGAGCTGCCACCAGAAAATCATGTGTTTTCTGCATCTGATTTAGTTTGGGGTAAAGTGAAGAGTCATCCATGGTGGCCTGGACAGATATTTGATTATACGGTTGCATCTGAGAAGGCAATGAAATATCATAAAAAGGATTGCTTTTTGGTAGCATATTTTGGGGACCGTACTTTTGCTTGGAATGAACCATGTAGTTTAAAGCCTTTTCGATCTTACTTTTCCCAGTCAGAGAATCAATGTATTTCAGAAGCATTCCAGAATGCTGTCAATTGTGCTCTGGAAGAAGTTTCGAGACGTGTTGAATTGGGGCTAGCATGCTCTTGCATACCAATAGAAGTCTATGAGAAGATTAGGTTCCAGAAAGTTGAAAATGCCGGGATTCGCCAAGAATCAAGTAGAAGAGATGAAGTGGATGAATCGGCAAGTGCCAGTTCTCTTGAATGTAATCAATTGCTGGATTACATAAAAGCTTTAGCACGGTTCCCATCTGTTAACTGTGACCGATTAGAAGTTGTGATAGCTAAGGCTCATGTGCTATCATTTTATCGCTTGAAGGGTTACTACAACTTGCCAGAATTCCAATCTTGCGGAGATATATTGGAAAACAGAGATGAAAGGATTGAGCTTACAACTCCTAATGGCAAGGAAGCTAAAGGTACTCTCTCTGGCCCTGAGATTATTACCTATTCTCACAAGCGTAAACATAGTTTAAGAGATTCTAAGGTAAAAGAACGAAGCCTGTCTGAATTAATGGATGGCGGCTTAGATTCTCTGGATGGCGGTGATTGGTTGGATGGGAAAGATACTGGTGGTTTGGTCTCACCATCCTCTGGCAAGAGACGGAAGGGTTTTGAGTATCATGTTGATGATGATGGAAGGAAAGTTAGCGGAGCAAAAGTTTCTAATACCACGCCTGTCCCAAAACAGTCTTTTAAGATTGGTGAATGTATCCAGAGAGTTGCAAGCCAACTTACAGGGTCTCCTATTGTGAAGTCCAACAGTGACAGACCTGCTGGGGATGGATCTGATGTTGCCTTCCAGAGTTCTGGTGATGTCCACAGAGGGAAAGCAGTTGATAGATCAGAGTACTTGTCGTTAGATGAATTGCTGTCACAACTTCAGTTGGCAGCAGAAGATCCACAGAAGGATAACCTAAGCTTGAAAACTGTTGTTAATTTCTTCTCTGATTTTAGGAATTCTGTAGCTGTAGGTCAGCTTCCTGGGATAGAGCATTTAGCTGTGGACAAAGTTGGTGGGAGAAAGAGGAAGTCGTCAAATTCTGCTTTTGGATTGCCTGAAACTTTTGAATTTGATGACATGAATGATACTTATTGGACAGACAGGGTAATCCAAAATGGCGTTGAAGAGCAAACACCGCGAAGGGGCAGGAAGGCTAATTATCAACCCATTGTTCTTGCCCAACCAGAAAAATCCCCTCAAGAGGGTCGTAGGCCATACGCCAGGAAGCGGTATTCCCAAACTGTTAATGCTTTGCCGCCAGAGAAGCCTGTTGGCTATGTGGATGAGAATGCCCCAACAGAACTTGTTATGAACTTCTCTGAGGTGAATTCTGTTCCCTCAGAAACAAAGCTGAATAGAATGTTTAGGCGCTTTGGACCTCTGAAGGAAGCTGAAACAGAAGTTGACAGGGAGAGCAGTCGTGCTAGAGTTGTTTTCAAGAAATGTTCTGATGCAGAGGTTGCTATTGATAGTGCTGGAAAATTCAAGATCTTTGGATCAATACCTGTAAATTACCAGCTCAACTATACTCCATCTCAGCTCAACTATACTCCGTCTATCCAGTTTAGCATTTCTCCCAGTGCCACAGCGCATGATCAGGAGATGCAACTTGTTCTCCCCTCCCATGATCATGATATGCACCTTGATCTCTCCGCCCATGACCAGATGCAACTTGATCTTTCCACCCACGACCATATGCAACTGGATATGCAACTTGATCTTTCCTCTCATGACCAGATGCACCTTGATCTCTCCACCTTTGATAACCTATGAAGTTGTCAGGTAACGATGGACATGGATTAAATTTAATTGCACTGATCTTTGAAGTTCTGCTTAAGCTTGCTTTGTTACAAACTTTCAACTACATCTGTTGATTCCGATGTGATCTGAGGTTGTAGAATTTAAAGGATTTATTTCTTTAAAAATAAAATAAAAAAACTACAGTAAGTGAACAGATACACGGGTTTTGGAAATTAAGAATTGACAAAAGGCCTTCGTATGCCCTGGTTGGTCTCCAATAGATAACCTGTGTCAAGTTTCTTTTTTCATTTTCTTTTGGTTGATGGGGCTCCTGGGGACGTGAAATTTATAGAATGACATTGTGTCCTGAGCAGAGCTTTTGGAGGTGAAATCTATCTGATATCATTTTGCTTCTGTAGTTAACTTTTCTTTTACGTATGTTTTATTGCAGGGAGAGCAAATGCTGAAGAAGAAAAAGAAGACAGTATGCGGGTATCTATGCCCTGGGAAGCCCTAGGACGTGCAAGGCTGAATCGGCTGCTGAAGGAGGTAACCAGACCAAGTATTCATCTGGTTATGGTGAATTTAACATGTGCTGAGGTTTCTCGCTGTTTTCTATTCACGAAGATGCCTGTTTTTTGCTTCCTTCTGTACTCTTATGTGTTTGAGGGTTCTTAGTTTGAATGTACAGCAGAGATGGCTGATCCTTCCTTGATGACTACAATTATGGCATCATTTTGTATCCATGAATGGGGCCAAAAGATCATGTATGATTGTGCATTATCCCTAGTTGAATAACGGTGACCGATAAATTTTTCTAAAACCATGCTGATTGCTGGAGGGTCGAGGGTCGAGGGTCTTGGGTCAAGGGCCGTTTTGGCCCTCGGAGACTTGGAGTTCCAAAAAGCATGGGGGAAAAGTAATTTGCTTTTGCTATGTGACATGTTGAATGCGCCTTATCTACCCGTGAATGCAAAGCAGGATATGCAAAATCCATTCTTACTTCATTCCCATTTGTAGGTATTATGTTACCATCGTGGAGGTCTTTCTCAGATGCCGATTAAATCTTCGGTGATGAGAGTGAACTGTCCGGCGATATTTATGGCTGTCTGGCCTCCCCCGTCCTGCAACCATCCTCTTTTCTTGTCCTGATCATTGAATGTGGCTGCCGTGTCTTTTTGTTTCCTGGGCTGGTATGTTACCCAGTTGGGCGATGGATCCAGATGGACTCGACCAAATGATTTTCCACAGAATCCATTTGTTAAATATATGGATTTGATAACAAATGGTTTTTTTTTTTTTTTTTTTTGAACAAACGACGTTATCTATACTATACTAAGGGATGATGCGTTAATATGGTATTTGAATTTCACAAAAACGCAGAGCATTGGTCCTTCAAACCAATTTTGTAAGAATATTTCCGTTAAAAATAGAGGGACATTTGTGCAGTTTCTTGATTTACTTCTAACAGAAATGTTAAAGGAGATTCTCAAAAGTACGACTCTTCATTGACTTTCGACCACAATATTTTACAATGTGAGCACAAGAATTGACATTAATCAGTAAAGCGGCAGAGAGGCTATAGCGAATCTCATTTGAGAGAGTCACTTTAGCATTTCTCTACTTTTGATCTTAAAAGTGATTTATGTGCATTTCACATCCTCAATTTTAAAAGAAATTCTCACAAGGTTTGTGAAAGACCAATGCTCCACTTTTTGACAAAGTTAAAATACAAACTAATTTCTTTCTCCATGCAACTCCAGTATCATATGAGGTAGTAGCATACTTTTGGTTTGGGTTCAACGGTACGCCAAAGTAGAGTCAGTGGCCAGGACCGTCTCTGAGATTTTAGAGGCCATGTGCGAAATTTATAAAGGGCCCCTCTTAAGATAGTTTTTCAAACTAAACTTTAGGACTTACTGATTGTAAATTTACAAATATCATTAAATAATAAGTAAAAAGAGATACAATCGTAACTTTCACTAAATATTCAAAAGCACTTCAATCTTAAACCAACCAAACAAGAAAAAGAAAAAAGCTTCAAAAACTCTACCCTCAATGTTTCACTTGAATATATAACATTCTTATATAATAAATTGAAAAAACAATTATTTTTTAAGTGTTGTTATCAACATTTCAAATATCTAGTTGTGTGATCCAAATTGTTATATATGTTTAGGAAAAAAAATTGGAAAATACCCCAAAATGGGACAATTCTTAATCTTGGGACAGAAATAGGACAAACAGGCAATGCACACCCATGCACAAAACTGAAATTACTCAAGTACCCACATATAAATGGGTTATTCCTCCCATTTTCTGATTTCTCTCTCTCTCTGCCTTCCTCTCTGTACTCTTTCTCCCTTCCTTAGATCTTTGAGCTTTGGTTTCGAAGCGATGGAAGTCCAAAGAGAGGCGAGAATATTGAGTTGGGTTTTGGGTTCACCTCATACCTCTGATTTTGAACAAAGGAATGCGAGAGATAGGTGATAAGAGTGAGCTGGGTTTTGTACCATATGTTCTGTTTTGGCTGAAAAATTCCATTTTTTCCAGCGACTAAAGCTTCGGCAGGCATAGTAACGTAGGGTGTTTAGTTCCAAGTTCCTTCATTAATGATTTATGGAATAAATGAGTTGTTTGTAAGATGAACTAATACTTAAAAGTTAAATTAGGGTTGGTGTTTCATGTTGGGGTGTATGGGTTGTGAAATAAATTTCAAGTTTGACGTGCTACAAGACTGGGATGGAACAATTTATGGTTCAAGTGTTCAATTGCAGAAATTTGTGAAATTTTTTCCGTAATATGCATGTGGTGCGCATATGGTGTGCATGGCTACATCTTAATATGAGAAGTGGAAATGTTCATTAGTTATGATCAAGATATTAAATATCGATAATATCGGAAATATCGGTTGTCCGAAAACACGGAAATATCGATGGAAATGTCAGGATAATATCGATATCGATAAAAATAATATGGAAACCACGGAAATTGTAAGAAAAACTTGGAAATTTTTATTGAAACTTTGCAGGATGTTTATTTAGTCAATTATCTATTAGTTTATCACAAAAAATTAGAAGGAAATGCATTGCATGATGGATTTAACATTATCAAGTTGATTATATAGCGAGCTGGCAAACATTGTGAGTGTAGAAAATATGTAGTAATTAATGAAAGAAGTTTAAACACATCATAATAATTTATATATAATGAATTAGTACAATATTTTACACTTTATACATTGCATGGTAAAATACATGAGTGACTTAGTACCACATAGAGTTCCTATGAGGTTCAAATTTTTCACTATCTTCATCATCTCTATGTGTAGAGTGAGTGTATTGTGAAGAGTAGTTATCAAATAATAAATCCCCAAAATAGTTTTGCATGTAATTGTTAACATGCCACCCATATGGATCCGAGATTGGTTGACCTTGTCCATAAGCAAAATCATTTGAAGATTGAGTCTCGGATTGTTTCCATGAGTCACTCGATTCCATCCCAACAGGAATCGGATATGAAGGGTAGGGAAATGGTTGGTTATGAGTATAACCATAGTTAGTACTTCCCAATCCAACAGAGTCCGAAGTTATAGATAACGAGTCATCTTCTTGACTTTACAAAATCCCCTTGCCTCTTTCTCTACGAGTATAGTCCTTCCCTATGGCACCAATTCCTGGTTCTGCCCGCCTACTGCCATGGTCCTCATCTTGTGTTGCATGCGTGAAGTTTGCCTCACTAGTGAAGGGGCTTATAAATCCGAGAGGTGGTTCAACATAATTTCCATATCCACCACCACTACCTCCAGCTCCACTATATCCTTCATCATTCCACCTCCGGTGGTAGGTGAGTCTCATCCTAATCTTGTATTAGAGCTATCATTAGTATCAGCACGATGTTGTGGTTGTGTAGGATTGGAAGAAGGTGGAATTCCATTGTTTATTGGTCTTGGGAGCAAAAGTTCTTCCAAAGAGTCAGCGCTGCTAGATCCCACCTCCTCCGCTAATACTCTTTCTACATTTATCCCTTCATTACGTGCTTCTTCAGCAACTATGGGAGCTGGGTTGCCTTCATCATCATCTAAATGAAGAGGTCTAATATATTGATAAAGTTAGTTACCCTCTGTATCATCATCTTCAGCAACAATATCAAACACATCTAGTGGGTCACCACGGTCGACATGATCTATTTCTGCTTCCTTATCTCGAATTTGAAGCTTCATGTTGTAGTAGCAATAAACTAATTTTTCCAACCTACTATGAGCCAACCTATTTCTTTGCTTTGTGTGTATGAGTGCAAATGTGCTCCAATTTCTTTCACAAGCAAATGAGGAAGCTGTTTGTGATAATACTTTGATTGCTAACTTTCTCACAGTTGGTGCATCGGTCCCATACATGATCCACCATTCAGCTACAATGAAAAACAATGTTGATAAGCCTAATAACTCCAACAAATTCTATTATAAACTTATCGTGAAATATGTTTACACTCACTAGGAGACATTTTTGTTCGAACAACAACTGATGTTGGTTCTCCAAAAGTTCTTCTTGCATCTTTAAACCATGTTAGCTGAATTCAATAAATCGTGTTAGTTTAATCCACAAAGTAATTATTATAATTTAAGTAATTGTGTACCTCATTTCCAAATTGGCCAACTGCTGGTGATGCAGGGTCTAATTTAGGGTATACATTATGTACAACACGTATAAGGGTACCATCATCTCCAACACCGGGTCTGTATTGGTATCGAGGATTCAAATAATATGTTGTTCAAAGAAACACATACTCTAATAAGAGAATTAATACTTATGCAACTAAAGAAATGAATTGCAAATTATGACATAATTTATACCTGCTGCATGCAAATCGTGGTATAATGTTTTATACCATCGGTCTTCAATTATCTTTATGACCCACCTTGCACCATGTTTTCTTTCCAATTCATCCTTCACTACACGCATCAACTCATATATTACCCCCATAGTAGGATACACTTCTGTGTCAACGATCCATAAAACTTTGTAAAGAGGTTCAACCACTTGGCACACATGTTCTGATTGAGTCCAAAAAGCATGATCAAGCACTATACTTTTCACCATACGACCTGCATTTGAGCGGTTGAAATTATGGTTGGCCCAATCGTCACTAGTGAATAGTTGCTTCAACCCTGCTTTCTTCTTAAGTAGGCTGTCTAATGCAATATAATTAGTGGTGAATCGAGTGGTAGCTGGACGAATAATTTCTCCTTTGCAAAATTCACGCATCTTTGCCAACAACCAACCGTGATTGTAAATATAATTTGTGATCGTTCTAACTCTTTTTACCACAATAGCAACATTCTCTCTCTTCCCCATTGCCTCTAACATGAGATCAATATAATGTGCTGCACATGATGTCCAAAACACATTATGATACTTCATTAACGTTTTTCCAGCTTTGACAAATGCAGAACTGTTGTCGGTCACAACTTGGACAACATTATGCTCTCCCACCTCCATGATTACATCCATCAATAATTTGTAAATATACTTGTAGTTCTTTATATGGTCTGAAGCATCAATAGACTTCAAAAAAATTGTCTTTCCCTTGGAGTATACCATGAAGTTTATAATAGACAATCTGGTCGGGCCGGTCCATCCGTCACACATGATTGTGCAACCATTAGTTTCCCACTTTGACCTCAACTTGTTAACATACTCGCCAATGTCTTTATACTCCATATCCAAATATTTGTTTCTTATCTCATAGGGAGTGGGAGGTTATACTCCAACACCGGCTTGTTGACATGTCACTACCATATTATTGAAATGATGTGATGATGCTTTCTCAGCAGGGACATTTTCATAGATAAAGAACTTGCTAATTAGACGCCCCATTCCCCCATTCACATTACCTCCAGTGAAATAACTCCAAACACTCTTTTGACGTGCTTTGGATGACT